CCCCCCCCCCCCCCCCCGCCAATTGATACTCCTCTCTCCCTCCCTCCCTCATCCTGCTCAGAATTCACTTCCTAAGGTAGAAAGGCTAGGAACCTGCAGCCTGAAAAGGTGCAATTCGGAAGTAATGTTTGCATATCCTCCTAGTCTTTTGGGGACGTTTAGAAAGCTTGCTCATCTGCTCTTTGGTTTAGGTCTTGTTTTGTTTGTAAGCTCTATGTCTTCTTGATATTGTTATCAGTGTAAACACCTTTGACTTTGGTTATCTCTAGACCTTCACCTCTCTGCAGAATAAATAAATGAATAGCTCTCAAAATGCCGCTTTCAAAACAAATGGCTGCCAAAACCAGCAATAGAGTCAATGCCGATTAACCGATTTGCAGCTGTTATCCCAAATGTTCACATTTAAATAGATTGCACATCAGTTGCATGGATGCAGAAAAGACATGGGTCCAAATAAGGCAGGGCACTGGATTGTTGCAACATTTTTTGGTTTAGGAAGGATATCTTAGAAGCAACTAATTCGCCATGTACTAGATACCACAAATCGTTTGTGCTGTCAAGATCTAGTATCGCTTCCTGACTTAATTGTCCCTCTGCTTAAAAGCAAGATTTAATGACTAATTAAAAAGGGATAACAATATAGCAGCAGCATTCTCAGATATTTTCTCTTCAATAGGCCACAAGGCATTTATTGTTTTAAACTGCTGAAATTCTTGTGGTACCTAAAAGCCTAAAAGATTGGTGGTAGTGTTGATAATATATGCCCGTGCACTAATTCACTGGTATTCATATCAGACACCTATTTACAATGTTATATTTTTTAGGTTTTGAACAGGCTTACCTGTTTGCCCAACTTTTACAAAAATATCGTTCCAATTTTGTTTTAGACATATTTCCAAATTTCCTGTGTCTCCCCTAAAGTAACATCAATTACAGGAAGGCTTGCCTATGTCTCAGGATGAGGCTATCTAGGCAAAGCCCCCCATTTGGCCACTGAAGGAGCAAGTGGAGGTGCCAAACAAATCTCATCAGGGCCTCATTTGTGGAGCTCCCACTGCTTGTGTGTCCTTTCTTTCTTGTTATTCTTCAAAAAGCATTTATAGCGAGGAATTAGGTTGGTAATAATGGATGTAGTTATGGATATTCATCTGATTGTTTTTAACTTTAAAATGCAATTGTACATATCCGTAGTTAGACAAAACGTCAGCCTCCCCCACATCTATATTTTATCTAATCCACTTATTTGATGGTAAAGATTAGCAAATTTCAGCAATTGGATGCAGAGAAGAAAACACTTGACTGTTCCATCTTTTTCCAGTTTAA